TGGGCGGTGCAGGCAGAGGAGACGCGTGGCAGGCCCACCCTCACCTCCATCTCACGGGTCGCAGACCCCGGGGCTGACCCAGCGCCTCCCCGACTCCCCTTAACCCCTTTCCACACGGTCATGGAAACGGGACGGTGACCAACACTGAGTCATCACGTTGTGCACCAGCCACCGGTGTCCTGTCAGAGCTCAATCTCCACAAAAAAAGTAAAAATAAGGGGGAAAACGAACAAATAAACACAGCGGAGAACTTGGGGTCAAAGAAGTTGGTGTGCTCTCCGCGTGCCCCGCGCGGAAAGGAGAGCCGCACCCACCACAAATAAAGGCATTGATTGGAATTAGATTAAATGATCACAGGTTAAGCCCCTGAGAACAACCCCTGCATCTGATTCCCTTTTGCCTTCGGACAGAAAAGTTTCTGAAAAGTAACCTAATTCCTAGGCAGGCGGCGAGGTTTCTCTCCCGGGAAGAGTCGGGCGGGGCCTGTTTTGGGGTCTGCTGATACCAGAGGGGACTCTGACACGGTCACATTTTTAAATTATGTTTTTACTGATTCCAGAGAGGAAGGGAGAGGGAGAGAGAGAGAGAGAGAGAGAGAGGAACATCCATGATGAGAGGGAATCATGGATAAAGCTGGGTCTGGGTGGGACGCTGTCCTCTCTGATGGAGAGACAGCGCCACGGCCTGAAAGCCGTGTCTTTATTTTATGGCAGATCCCACGAGGCAAAGTAAGGGCGTGGTCACAACGTTCTCATGAGTTTCGAATCTACTCAATTACATGCACCTGAACTCTATCAAGCCCACATCACTCAGCCACATGGGACCACAGGTTCGGACCATAAGGTCAAGCTCACAGCCACAGCCTTTGGCTATAATTGTGCTGGGAGGGCTCGGCCCCCCAAGCTGGGACTTGCACGCGGCTTTGCCATGAGAGGACCGTGCCTTCTCATTAGTCTGAGGCTTGAACCTATTCAAACGCTGTGGCCACTCTCCACATTGAGAGTGTGTGACTAGCAGCCTGCGGTTACACGGATCCGCCTTCCATGGGCACCGGATAACATGTGTGTGGTTTTGCAAAGGAAATCGGGAATATCGGTGCATCAGGGGTGAGCCAGAGGGAGGGCAGTGAGGAGCCTCTACTTCGAGCCCTGAACCTGCTGACAACCCCAGAACGGCTGCTAAGGAGCATTAGGGATGGGCCGTGAACGACACTCCAATTGCCTGCACCCACATCAGCGAGTTGAGCAAATTCAGAGCTGGAACCGATGGGCTCTGTGTCTGGTGTGTTGTATTTGCTTGTGGTGAGAGTCTCGTGTCTGAGGTGGGAGAGGCTAGTTCCTGGGTGCTCAGTAGAGGAACGGATTTCGACGGAGGCTGGGTGCTTTGGAGCAAGACTGAAGGGCTTCCAAAAACAAGACCACAAGCGAGTGCAGGCAGTGCTTTGAACCGGCCCTTTGGGAAGTGTTCGCCTCAGACCCCAGAATTCTGAGCCCCCACCCTTCCTCTCTGAAACCAATAAACATATTTTTTAAAAAGATAGACTCCTCCTGGTGAGCGGTGGGGACGGAGGCCGGGGTCAGCTGCCTGGGATGCTCCTCGCGGCCGGCGTTCCCATCCCCGGGGCTCAGTGTCGGTTGTGTTCAGGCAACCACAGCGAGATTCGGGTGCAAATGCAGAAATCGCTGCCTCCATCACCCAGCACACGTTCCACGGGACCAACCACGTGGCCCACGTTTGCCGTCCGGGGGCGCTGCACAGCCCAGCCGCGGACTTGAAGTCATGAGCACACGCCTGGAGGTAGACCTGTGCACCTGCCCAGCACACCTGCTGATCTGTGTGAACACCGGGGCTGGAACCGGCTTGAGCCGCCTGTGTTTATTCTTTTGCGCCTTTTGTTTGAATCATTTATATTCTCTCTTTGAACAATATACGTGGCCAGTTTGCTCAGTGGATAGAGCATCGGCCTGTGGATAAAAGGGTTCTGGGTTTGATTCCCGATCAGGGCACAGGCCCAGGTTGCAGGCTCCATCCCCAGTGGGGGTCATGCAGGAGGCAGCGGATCCGTGATTCTCTCTCATCATTGATGTTTCTCTCTCCTTCTCCCTTCCTCTCTGAAAGCAATACAAATATGTTTAAAATCCACGTGGACATGGGCTCACGCACCTCCTTTCTCCCGCAGGCGGCGTTTTTGAAACTGCGGAGAACGAGCCTGCCAACGTGGAGGAACTAGCCTTCAAGTTCGCCGTCACCAGCGTCAACAGGAACCGCAGCCTGATGCCCAACGCCACCCTCACCTACGACATCCAGAGAATCGCCCCTTTCGACAGCTTTGACGCCTCGCAGAGAGGTACCGCGTTCACACGTCCAAACGCCTCCCGGGTGAGGGGTCTGCTCGGTCCCTCCGTGGCCATCGCTGTGCGGAGGGGCTGCCGGGGTACCTGTGGGTACAGGGGTCCCCGTCCTAAGGGAGGCGCCCGGCTGCGCGTCCCTCTGCTCAGCTCGCCCCTCGCGTCCCCGACCCGTGAGGAACCGGCTCGGCTGTGAGTGGAGGAGTCAGGCTGGCCCTGCCTCTCCGCCCAAAGCCGAGACCCCGCGTGACCGTGGGTGGTGCAGGCAGAGGACACACGTGGCAGGCCCACCCTCGCCTCCATCTCACGGGTTGCAGACCCCGGGACTGACCCAGTACCTTCCCAACTGCCCTTAACCCCTTTCCACACGGTCATGGAAACTGGACGGTGACCAACACTGAGTCATGACGAAGCCTCGTTTGCCAAGTGAAGGTCGAAGGCTTCCTGCTGAGCAGGGCCCTTCCTCCGTTCCTTTCTGCAGTTTCCTGCTTACAACGTTAGTTAGTTAACTAGTTAGTTAGTTAGTGAGCTGGTTAGCTGGCTAGTGATTCAGTCAGTTGTTCCTTGATCTGAGGTCTCAGTCAGGAGCCGCCTGACTTGGTGACGAGAGCCTGGATTGGGAGTCGAGAGGTTTAAGCCCCGACACGACCTTGTGCGAGCTGCTCCGTCTCCGCGGGCCCCGCTCACCGTCCCTG